CAGGGGTAACTCGGGTCAGGGCTAACTCGGGTTCGTTTTTCGGGAGTCCGAACCCGAGTGACCCCGGGCCCGAGTTGCCCCGGATAGGTCGGGCGCCCAAACGGAGCTGCCGCTGACTGCAGCCGTGTCCCAGCTGCACGCGTCTGCGCACTCGGCCGCCTCGCGGGCGCTCCTGGGCCTCGGGTGCCCTGCGCGCCCGGCGGCCCTCGCCCCGGGGAGCCTGCCCGGAGGCCGCCACGCACCCCGGGGGCTCCTCCTCCTCCTCCTCCTCCTCCTGCTCCTCTTCCTCCTACCCCCTCCATCTTCCTCTTCCTCCATCTTCCTCCCTCTTCTTCCTCCTCCTCCTCCCTCCTCTTCCTCCTCCTCCTCCGACAATTGGCGTTTGCTAAGCGGCCCTAGGCGTTTACCAAACGGCCCTGCCCCGTTCGGCTCCTTCCTTGGATGCGTTCACTACGCGGCTTTGCCTGTCGGGGTGGTCATCCATGGGGTGGGTTTTCTGCACTTTTAGCATGGTCGCAGCACGAGATCGGGGCTGCGTGTGGACGTTCCCCCCTCGGTCGGGGAGGCGTAGGACTCGAGAAGGCAAGCCGGAATTCGGGCTTGCCGGGGCTTTTTGACGAGCGCGTCCTGGATTTTGACGGTCCAATTTTTCGTGGGACGTCCACAGCGGGAGCTCGCGTCACATTTCCGACATTTTCATGATGGCCACGTCAGGCCAACACGAGTGCCCCGTACCCGAGTCTTACGTCACCCCGACTCAGCCACTGGGAGTCCGTTTTCGGCCATGCCTTCGACTCTACAGATGCGGCCTACCCTCGCTCGACTTACAGAGGAACTGGTTCATCCCAGCAGGCACCATACCTGGCAGCACAACAGTCAAGTCCTGCAAACTGCCGGTCTTCAGTGCTTATCCGATGGTCCATCATCCCAAAACATGGTTATAGGCATTGTTGGGGAGGGCTTTCAAGCCGGTGCCGCCGACCTTGAAGAGGGACGACGAAGACGACGGCGGCGGCAACGACGACGCTGACTCTCAGGAGCCCTTATTTGGGACCCTCTTGGGAGCCAATTGGGCTCTGTTGAGGTACCTCTTAGGGCACTGTTTGGAAAGCTTCGTGGCCACTTGGAGCCGCCTCCTTCATCCCAGAATGTGAATTTAGCTCATACTTTAGCCCATAGGGAGCTCGGTAATCCTCCCCCTCCCTCTGCCTCGTTTTTCCCTCGGCGGCCTCCTCCGCCTCCCACTCCCCTGCTGTGCATCACCCCCCTGCTCCTCATCTTTTGCCTCCCCCTCCTCCAGCCTCCTCCTCTCCTTCTCCTCTCCTCCTGCAGCCTCCCCTTCCTTCCCCACGCCCCCTCCTCCTCTGTCGCATCCGCCTTCCTCCTCCTCCTCCTCATTCCTCCCATGGTTCCCCCCCTTCCCCCCGCCCCCCGTCGGCGCTTCCAACCTGACTCCATCGACGACAAGGACCAGCCGGTCCAGTTCTGCCAGCATATACCAGGAGGGCGCCCGCCCCTGCGCGCACCCGGTGCGGAGGGCGGCGAGGGAGGGCACGGAGGAGGGAAGGGCACTGCCTGCGTCTTCCCCTGCTCCTCCTCCCCCTCTTCCCGCCTCGACGCCCCGCCCTCCTCTCCTTCCTCCTCATCCTCCCGCCTCCCCATCCTCCCCTGCTCCTCCTTCCCATCCCCCCGCCCCCTTCTCAGGCCTCAGACCGCTCCTTCGCGGGAGTGAGGGCCGGAGGGTTTGAGGAGGGGGAGGGTCACGAGGAGAGACGGAGGTAAGGATCGGGGGAAGCGAGGGGGGGCGAGGAGTGTTTTTTCCTGCGTCGGCACGCATCCACTGCACGAGAGACAGGTAGGGCCGCTTCCCCCGTGGAGCGCTCCTCGAAGGTAGCTACCGTTCCTCCAGCCGGCCACAGCTGCGGTTTGCGCGTGCAATCTTCGGGTGCCTCCTCGAAAGGATGCGTTGCCAATTGATCCTGCGGTATCTTGTCACAGGGATCCAGATGCTTGGGCGGGACGGCGGAGGACGGCAGGTAATTGATGATGCTCGGATGATGGACATGGTGATTTCATGATGTCGGCGACGATGGTATTGGTTACGATGGCGATAATGCTAGTGATACTTGTACTGCTTTTGATGAGGTACTGTTATGACGATGGCGATTGCCACGGCGATATGACGACATATAGGATGACGATGCTTGCCATACGAAGAAAGATCACGTGTGACGGCGCCAGCGATGACAGAGTTGATGATGTTGTTGATGACGACGCCGACGATGCTGTCAATGATGCCTGCCCCCATACGGACGATGGCGACGACGAGGATGATGACGACGATGGCATGGCGGCAAGGGCGCGTGGCATGTCACTATGCACCGGCAAGGGGGTGCATAGCTCATCCAGGCAACGTCGTTCTCGCGCAGATCGACGAAAGCGAGACGAAGAGGGGGAGACAGAGGATGGTGAGGATGTGGAGGATGAGGAGGAGGAGGAGAAGGAGGAGGAGGAGGTCCGGGGAGTGCCGGTATTGGTACTGCTCGGTTTCCTCAATCTCGGTTGGGGCACATTGGCTCTCTCGGCTTTGAGTGCGGTGCTCGTGAAGGCTGGGTTGACAAAAACCTTGCGCTCCTGGAGCCTGTTACAACGGCCGCTGTTGGCATCAATCAGCGATGGACGGTGTGGGCAATACAGTGGGGACGCGCATCAAGAAACCAAATGCTTTTCGTCAGGGACTCCTGGATATGTTCGCTCCGCGCGCTGCGCGGTGACTTCCCCCGGCCGTTCTGAGTGACTGGGTTGACCCCCCCCCGCTGCATCTCGCGCGCGGGCTTTCAGGACTGAGTTTCGTGCTAGGGCTGCTAGGGTTTCTTGCGACAGAGTCCGCACTGTACGCATTCCTCTGACAGCCACCTCTGATGATATAGGGCCGCCATCATTGCCGCAGGGCCCCGTCAGGAAGATGAGAAGGAGGAGGAGGATGAAGAGGAGGAGGAGGAGAAGAGGATGAGAAAGAGGAGGAAGATGAGGAAGAGGAAGAGGAAGCGGAGGAGAAGGAAGAGGGAAGAGGAAGAGGAGGAAGAGGAGGAAGAGGAGGCGGAGGAGGAGGAGGAAGAGTAAGAGGAGGAGGAGGAGGAAGAGGAGGAGAAGGAAGGGGAGGAGGAAGTGGCAGAGCAGGGGGAGCAGCAGGGCGAGGCTTGGGAGGCGATCCAGGGATCCCACATGGGCTGGACGTGGCGGGTTCCAAAAGCGGCCTCCACACACCCAGACCCCCTCGGCCATGAGAGAATTCCGACGGATGGTTTGTTCGCAATTCTCGTGTTCTGAGGGCCCTGGCCAGGCCTCGGGACCGTCGGACAGCGACGCTGGATGCGAAAGTTTGCCTGGCGAAGAGGTCGAGACCTTGGCTGTGTCGGCTTCCTGGAATCGTGGAGAAACATACTGCGACAACATGCACATTCGACTGTCCGCGCGGATGTCTTGGATCAGCGCTGGAGCCCCCTGGCTGCGCTTCCAGCGCCGCCTCTGGCGCGCTCCAGCTCGGGTCCGAGATGTCCGCGCGGACCGTCGAAAGTTTCTATTTGCCCGTCGGTCATTTGAATAGGATTTTGTGGATTCCCAGATCACAATCTACTTCTCAGCGCCTGCCTTATTAAATGATCGATCTTGTTTTGCTTCGGGTTTGTATTATTACCGACATGGTTTCGACACGGATTCGACGTGGATAGGGCCGCGACGGGACAGACAAGGTCTTCCTATGATGCAACACAAAGTAAAACGGAGGCGTATCCGCCGGCGGAAGCCAGCTGGCCAAGAGATGAGATCGGTTCGGGGTTTGGGGTTTCCGGAGCCCGCCATGTGGAGCCCAGCTTCCTCCCTGCGACGGCGCTGGTGCATCGCCGACGTCGCCGAGGCATCGTCGATGCATCGGCCATTCCGCGCGATCCTCCGACCCGATCTGCTCAGCTCCCAGCGGCCTCCAGAGGAGAGGGGCAAGGAGAGGAATGGGAGGGGTGGAGCGTTCTGCTTCCGCTCCTCCTCCTCCTCCTCCTCCTCCTCCTCCTCCTCCTCAGAGGCCTCCGGAGGCCCGGCGAGTGCCCGGCACGCCCAGAAAACCCTTCTCGAATCCTGGTAGGCCGAGGCCGCCGCAGGGCAGCTGGGAGGCGCTGTTTCCACGCTGCCGTCCGCGCCGGGCCAGGCCCAAACAGTGGGCAGTTGGTTCCGGGGCGGCCAAGACCCGGCATCGCTCGGGAGCGGAAAAGAGGGGGGTGATGACCAGGGGGGGTGGATTTCATGGCGCGGGCCATGCGGGCCATGATTTTTCCTCAGATTTCATGGCGCCACTTCTTATCTTATTACGTCCCAGGCCCCCCCGCTGGGCCGCGCACATGCCGCCGGTCATGATTTGCACACCCCCTCTTGGACACCCCTCTCTTGGCCGCTCCCGAATCGCTCGGACGTGTGCTTGTTTTCTCGGCGAGGACCCTGGAGGAGCGCCCTGGATCATCGCGCAGACAAAAGCACGCACGCAACCGAAAAATGCACAGGGAATGGACGTCCGAGCGATGGCAAGAAGAGGGGGGTGATGACTAGGGGGGGGTGGATATACGTATCATGGCGTGGGCCATGCGAATGATCTCCCCAGATTTCATGGCGCCTCCGCGCACGTGCCGCCGGCCATGATTCGGGTCGGGCGAAAGGGGGGGATTGGGAAAGGGGGGGTTACGAAATTTGCTGCATGCAGCTGGTTTCGGCCTCACCGAGGGGCCCATTCCTCGATACATAGCCCTCCGGCGCCGGGAGGCGCCGGGAAAATCAGCTACGTGAGCTGATTCTCAAACCCCCCTTTGCTATCCCCCCCTGCCCCCCGACCCGAATGATCTGCGCCCCCCCCCTCTTGGCCGCCCCCGAATGCTGGGAGGGGCCGTCTTCGTCGTCGTCCGCTCCCCGAGCGACGCGTCGTCGCCGCCGCCGCCGCCGCCGCCGTCCGCGCCCGGCCAGACCCGAACGACTACACGGTGGACGCGCCGGCCGTGCCCATGGCGCTGCACAAGAGCTCGTCCTGCGCGCTGCCGCCGAAGCCGCAGTCCGGCCAGCCGCTGAGGCCCGCCCTTCCACCACCGCCGCAAGCAGGAGGGGGAGGGGGTCCTCCTGCTCCTCCTGCTCCTGCTCCTCCTCCTCCTCCTCCTCCTCCTCTTTCTCCTCCTCCTCCTCCTCCTCCTCCTCCTCCTCCTCCTCGTCCTCCTCCACCTTCCCCCCCTCCAACTTCTTTATGGTGGCGTGGCCTCCATGTCGGAGCCCCTGACCGCCGCGCACAGTCGCCCCCTCCCTTCGCAGAGCACGCACGGGCATAGACGTAACATCGATCCTTGCGACCCTCCTCCTCCTCGATTCGCCTGCTCCCCCTCCTCCAGCCTCCATCCCCCCTCCTCGATCGGGGAGCATGGCCGAGGACAGAGATACACAGAACCTCAACAACACTCTTTTAGAGGCTCTCGCGGACTTCTTGGCTCGGCGCCGGGCCCGCCCTGCCGGCGCCTCCGGCACCGCCCCTGGCGCGCTCCGCGCGGATCCAAGGGACACGCGCGGATTTCCAGAGTTCATGTCTACGACGTTCGTTGTAGCCCTATCCTCGGCCATGCCCCCTGGTCGAGGAGGGGGCTTGGAGGATCGAGGAGGCAGAGGAGAAAGGCGAAGGCGAACCGAGGAGGGCGGTCGAGACTCAGGGAGCGAGGGAATCGACCAGGATCGCGAGGACCATGCCCCCTGATCGAGGAGGGGGGCGGTGGATCGAGAGGAGGAGGCTCGAGGAGGAGGAGGAGGAGGATGAGGAGGTGAAGGAGGAGGAGGAGGAGGAGGAGGACGGTGGCTCGAGGAGGAGGGGGAGGAGGAGGAGGAGGAGGAGGCGAAGGCGCATCGAGGAGGAGGGTCGAGGATCAAGGATCGAGCATCGAGGAGGTTCGCGAGGAGGATCGAGGAGGAGGATCGAGGACGAGGAGGTGGACCCCCTGATCCTCCCACTCCTCCATCCTCATCCGTCCTCCGTCCTGCTCCTCCTCAAACCTTCTTCCTCCTCCATCCTCCTCCTCCTCCTCCTCCTCCTCCTCCTCCTCCTCCTCCTTTCTCTTCGTTATTGTCGTCGTCCTCCTCCTTCTGCCCTCCTCCTCTTCCTCCAACCCCCTCCGTTTCTGGAGAAATTCGCGAAGGGAGTAGTGTAACTTGTTCTCCATGTTCTCGTTAGCCTCCCTCGATTAGCGGGCAGATGTGCTATTGTCAAGCAGGCCGTCGGTCGTCTGAGTGGTCGTTCCTCCTCCTCCATCTTCTGTCCGCCTCCTCCTCCGTCCTCAACCCTCATCCTCCTCCCTCCACTTCCCTCCTTCCCATCTCCTCTTCCTCCTCGCGGAGCGCATACCGCCCTTCGGGCGTAACCGCTGACGTTGCATCATCCGTCGAATCCTCGAACTCGCCTGCTCCTGTTCCTCCTCCTATTCCCTTTGCTCCTCCTCTGTCCTCCTCCTCCTCCTCCTCCTCCTCCTCCTCCTCCTCCTCCTCCTCCTCCCCAGTTGCTCATGCATCAACCCTGCAAACCGCGGGCACGAGGATTTTGAGAAGACTGATTTCCTGGTTCCCCAAGCCTTCGCGAGCCTCGATGCGCAGCCTGCGCTGTGGCTCCGCGGAGTGCCCCCCCCCCCCCCTAAAGGACCTTGTGGTGCCTAAGTTTGTGGAGGCTCCTGGGGTGGCCCAGAATGTCCTCCTCTTTGGGTGGGGATTGTTTTGGACCACTGTCGCCCCAGGAGGGTCCCCTGGCACATCTCTGGGGATGGCTCTGGGGGCGAGCACAGCGCGGACCCCAGGAGGAGACGATGCGGCTCGGCGATTGTTGTCATGAGCCAGGATCCCTCGTCGCCCTTCTGGAGCCCCGTGTGCGGCGTCGCTCAGGTCCTGGTCGGTAGGAAGCAGACTGTGCCGCGTGCTGAACTACAAGCTTTCTGCTTAGCTCTTGGGTGCTCGCAGGGTCCTATCTGCTACGTGACTGACTGTAAGAGTTTAGTTTCCGATTTGCACTCTGGTCGTGCCAAGTCTCCTCGTGGCCACAACGGTGACCTTTGGGTCCGCGTCGGGCGTGCTCTGGAGGCCCGTGGTGTGGCCCTGGGGAGGTTTCTATGTTGTGGGCCCCCCTCGCCTCGTGAGGAAGAAGTACAGCCGGCCAAAACGGAACTCGAGTTGTTTTTGAGCCTGGGCAGCGCCTGTGCCGACGTGTGGGCGGACCTTGCGGCCCAGTGGGCCTGGGACTGGTGTGTGACCCCCCTTCTGCCCCTCGGACGGACCTCTGGGACACGACGGCGGCACTGGTGAGGCTCAGAGCTCGGCGTGCATTGCTTATGGCGCTCGAGGTTGAACCGTGGATCGGTGAGAGGCCACCTAGCGTCAAGCAGCCGCGTAAGCCGACCCGCTTGGAGGAGGCTCTGAAGGCCAGCTCCCATGATTTTGCGCCGTTTGCTGGTCGATGGAGGTGTAGGCTGTGCAAGTAGATTGTCCCGAGGAGCAGGCTGCCCAGAATCGCCTCGACCCGTTGCCGTGATCCGCCTCCCGCCGCGCCGTTGGATTCGGGTGGGACGCTGGGGTTACCTCCTGAGTATTGAGAGGGTTTCGAGGCGATCTCGGGGGAGGCGAGCGTGGGCGGGGTGCTCCTGCATCCCAGCCACCGTCTCGCCAAGATGAAGGCCTACGGGCTGTTCTTCTGCATGACGTGTGGACGCACAGTCACTGCTGATGCGAGGGATTTTGCTGGTGTGTGTCCCCCCCCCCCCGACTCGCAAAGGGGGGAAGTACCCCAAGATAATCCAACGAAGCTTGTTTCCGACCTATCGTGGTCCACCAGCGTCCGTGATGGCGGCGATTGCAGAGGACGCGGTGTGCCGCGCACTCCCCACCGCTGGAGAGCAGGCGGAAGGAACGCCTACCCAGGAGCTTGCGAGGGAGGCCGGCCTACTCGACGAGTCTGTTAGGGTCTCGTCGGCCCGCCATTCGTGCGAGACGGCGGCCCTCATGAGCACCGATGCCGAGGAGGCTCCTTGCTGTGCTGCTGCCGCCCCGCCTGCCGCTGCTGCCTTGAGGGAGGTCGCTGCCCGGCTTCGTGTGTCGAGCGCCTACGGCAGGTGTGGCGGCGTTTCGCAGCAGCGGGCAGTGTCAGCGGAGGACAGTGGTGACAGTGATTGATGCCGCGTGCGCGGCGCTCAGCAGAGTCCAGCAGAGCCCTCATCCTCCTCAGCCTCTCTTCGTCGTCTTGTTATTCGCCACCTTCTCCTCCTCCTCCTCCTCCTCCTCCTCCCTTTTTCTATTCAGTCCCCTCTCACTCGTCCTTCATTTCAGGTCTGTTTCAAGCAGGGATCGAGGTTCGAGTATCGAGTCTTCTGGTCGTCCTTTTTTGACCGTCGGAGGCCAGCCGAGGTGCGGAAAAGGAGGGGGACGAGGAGGAGGAGGGATGAGGAGAAGAGGAGGATATGCACGAGGATGAGGACGAGGAGTGGGACGAGTAAGGTGACTATGGTGTTGATGGTGGTGACTACGCTGATGTTGATGATGATAATGTTGCCGATGATGATGGTGGCTTGAATGATGGCGATGGTCTTGCTCATGCTGAGGGTGGTGTTGATGATGGCGGTCATTATGATGATGATGCTGATGATGATGATGATGCTGCTGTTGTTTGAGAGTGGTGATGCTGATGGTGCTGATGATGGTGATGTGGATGATGGCGATGATGTTGCTGATCATCCGGGTGTGGTTGACCATGGAAGCGTTGGTGGTGATGATGATCATGTTGGTGATGGCGATGCAAGCGGTTGGTGCTTTGATGGGTATGATGAGGATGGTAAGTCGGATGCTCATGATGGCGCTGATGATTGAGATTACTGTGTGGATGTTGCTGCTTACGTTGATGGTTATGATGGTGGTGATGAGGGTGGTGACGATCATGTCGACGACGGTGCTGGTGATGATGCTGATGTTGATGATATTGATGCTAATGCTGGCGGTGATGATGGCGATGCTGGTGATTGTGATGATGATGATGATGGTGACGACGACGGTGATGATGAGGGTGCTGCTGCTGGCTAGTCGTATGATGGTGTTGGTGCTGATGATGATGCGGATTGTGATGAGCATGTCGATGATGTCGATGATGGTGGTGATGACGGTCATGGTGGCGATGGTGGTGGTGATGACGAGGAGGAGGAGGAAAAGGAAAAAGAGAAGGAGTTGGCAGAGACCCCAGAGTAGCCAACACAGTCTTTGGAACATATAGGTTGGATGTACGGGGTTGAGGTCTTTGATGTTTTGTCGGAAAACCCCCTCCCCGGTTTTTTTTGGATAATGAACCCGACCCCCGCAATTACCCCTGACCAGCAGCGCGGCACGACATAATGTAGAGACTTGCGCTCGCACATTAGCATCGCTGCCACCAAGACCGCAATGGTGATTCCACGCCCCTTCGCTGCAGAGGCCTCAGCTCTCACACATTTTCCGCTTGCAAAAGGCGTTGCCCGAGTTGTGCGCTGTCAGTGGGCGGTTTCATGACGCTTTCGCAGAGCGTACAAGAGCAAGGCCAAACAATGCAAAACCAATCGATGCAAAATGATACCTGGCAATGCAAAGCCAAGCGGTGCAAAGTAATGCCAAGCAGCGCAAAGCATTGCAATTCAACGCCACCCAATGCCAAACCATGGAAATACATGCCAATCAACGGCAAGCGACGCCAACCAAGGCAATGTAATGCCACACAACGACAAAGCAATGCCGTTCAGCGTTCCCTGAACCAGGGTTGCGCCGGGTTTACCCGAAGTTGTTATACCATGTGTGTGCACACTTGCAGCATATATGCATAAGTCGCTTCAAGCGCTTGTATATCGACCACATTTCCAGCAAATAACCGCGTTCATTGCCTTCTGTCTTCTGGTAGCGCTTACATGGCGGAATGCCGCGCCAGTATCGTAGTGGTGGTGGAATGCGTGTTTCCCCAGCTGTCAGGCAACCCTTGGGGGGACAATGGAACGCGGCCTCTTGGGGCCGTCTTGGGGACGTTTAGGGGGGCCTCCTTGGAAGCCGTCTTGGGACTCTTGGGCTGTTTTGGGGCTGTCTTCCGCCATCTCGGGGCTCTTGCTTGAGCCATCTTGTCTCCCTCTTGGGCTGCCTTGTGCCCCATTTGGAGGCCTCTTTGGCCGTCTTGGGCGGGCTGTCGGAATCCCAGGCAGGCGAGGACGCGAACACTTTTCAAAACCACGCGAGCATCTATGCTTTTGACCTCCTTAAGGCCTCTAGGAGGTCCTCTCGGAGCTTTCTTGGTGCAGGGCGTCTTGGGGGCCTCTGGTTCCGTGTTGTGGCCGTCTTGAGCCATCTCGAGGACAATTTGGGCCGTCTTGGAGGCATCGTTGGGCCATTAGGCCTTTTTGGAGCCATGTTGGCTGTCATGGGGACCGTGTGTGAGGTCATCGTGGGCAATTCTGGCCGTCTTGGGCACCGTGTTGGAGCAATTTTGGATGAAGCAGCCTTTGGGATGTACCTGCAAGCGGGTCGGACCGGGAGGAGGAGGATGAGGAGGAGAGGGGGGATGCAGAGGGAGAGCTCAGGAGCAGGAGGAGGGGGGTGGAGGAGTATGGAGACCCAGGGAGGATGGTCGAGGAGGATGGTCGCGGAGGAGGATGGCTGAGGAGGACGGAGACTCGGGGAGACGGAGGAGGACCAAGCCCTGCCTTGCTGCGGGGAACCCCCTGGGTGCCAGCGGGTCCCCCCCAAGGCCGCGGGCGGCACGGGCCGAGAGGAGGTGGAGGGAGACAGAGGAGAGAGGAGGAGGGAGGGAGGAAGATATAGAGGAGGATAGGCGAGGAGGAAGACAGAGGAGAGAGAAGAAGGGAGGAAGATAGAGGAGGGAGGAAGATAGAGGAAGATAGAGGATGTTAGAAGAGGGAGGAAGATAGAGGAGAGAGAAGGAGAGAGGATAGAGGAGGATAGAGGTTGAGCTCCTGCTCCTCCTTCAACCTTCGGGGGGACCATTGCCTGGCTGGGTTTAGGTCGGGCACGTCCCCCTACAGGTGGATTTTGGACGAAAAGTTCAAGATACTCAGAGAATACCTCAAAGTATTGAAAAATACGTGGAACGTCGTCCCAGGACTATCTTTGCTATTATTCTTGAATATTCTTCCTGTAGAGCGACACGCTCGACTTGCGGCTGGGTTGGTTCTCCACAGCTCCGCCTCTGACCGGCAGGGTAGGCGGAGAGCAGCTCCCGAAGAGCCCGGCAGGGGCCCCCCCGCTGGGCTCAGTGGTCGGGTCGCCCAGGTGGGGGGGAGGCGCGACAGGAGGGGGAGGGGGAGGGGCAAGAGGTGGATGGAGCAGGGAGGATGATGATGCTGATGTTGGTGCAGGTGCTGATGCCGATGCTGATGTTGATGCTGATGATGATGATACTGATGCTGATAGTGAGGATGATGATTATTTTGGTAATGGTGTTGCTGATGATGATGATGATGCTGATGCTGATGCTGATGATGATGATGATGATGATGATGATGATGATGATGATGATGACAATCAAGCTACTGATGATGACGACGGCGATGACGATGCTGATGATGATGATGATGATGATGGATGGCGATGACCTTGGTGGTGATAACGATGATGATGCTGATGCTGGTGGTGGTGCCGATAATGCTGCTGATGATAATGATAATGATGGTGATGATAATGATAATGATGCTGATGATGAAGATGACGATGCAGATGAAGATGACGATGAAGATGATGATGATGATGATGATGATGATGATGATGATGATGATGATGATGATGATGCTGATGATGATGATGTTGACGACGACGGCGATGATTGTGGTGGTAATGATTTCGATGATGATGCTGATGCTGATGATGATGACGATGATGACGATGATGATGATGCTGATGATGATGACGATGACGATGATGATGGTGATGCTGGTGATGACGAGGATGCTGATGATGATGCTGACGATGACGATGATGATGCTGATGCTGATGATGATGACGATGATGACGATGATGCTGATGATGATGATTATGCTGTTGATGATGATTATGATGAAGATGATGATGCTGATGATGATGATGCTGATGTTGATGATGATGATGCTGACGATGATGATGATGATGCTGACGATGATGGTTATGATGATGACGATGATGATGATGTTGATGATGACGATGATGATGATGATGATGATGATGTTTTATTGATGATGTTGATGATGATGATGATGATGATGATGATGATGATGATGATGATGGTGGTGGTGGTGGTGGTGGTGGTGGTGGTGGTGGTGATGATGATGATGATGATGATGATGATGATGATGATGATGATGATGATGATGATGATGGTGATGGTGATGGTGATGGTGATGGTGGTGGTGGTGGTGGTGGTGGTGGCGGTGTGTTGTGATGATGAGGAGAAAGAGCCGAAAGTTCGAACATGGGGGCCCTCGCGCAGTTCGAATGGAGGAACCAGGAAGAGGAGGGGGGGGGAGGGGGGAGGAGGAGGAGGCGGGACGAGTGAGGAGGAGGAGCCAGAAGGGTGACAAGGATAAAATGATGAGGGTGGAGGGAGGGAGGCAGGGAGCAATGGATGAGGAGGAGGAGCAGTAGGAGGAGGAGGACGAGGAAGAGGAGGAGGATGAAGAGGAGGGCTGGAAGCATGGAGGCAGGAGCAGGAGGGATTGAGGAGGAGGAGGAGGGATTGATGAGGGAGAGGGAGCTAGGGAGGGAGGGAGGACGGCTCCTCCTGCCTTGTACGGGCGGCGCCCGCCAGCATCCCGCTGCACAGCCTCTCCGACCACATCTACCTCCACGCGCGAGGCCGCCCCCTAGGGAGGGGGCGGAGGGGAGCAGGCACTGGGCACTGGGGGCGCAGTGCCCCCACCTTCGGGGAGGAACATCGCCGCACACTGAAACTCTCGGCGCTCCTCCGGCGGCGGCGCCTCCGGCGCCGCCCCCGGCGCGCTCCGCGCGCCAGGGAGAGGGGCCCAGCGCGGATCCCAAAAGTCCGCGCGGAGCGCCAAAAGTCTGTGTTTGTGGCTCTCCCGGCCGCCGTGAGGCCCCGCCTTCTTTCGCCCTCTCTCTCTGCTGATGAAAGCTGTGCGCGCCCCGCTTCCCTTCCAGCGGAAGAGGTTCGCTCTCGCCCCGCAGATCAAAACGTTTGTGGCGTGTTTGCCTCTTTTTCTGCACCCTGCCCTGCCTCTTTTGTGGTGTGCTGCCTGCCCTGCCCTGCCTCTTTTTTCCCTACCTAGGCTCTGCCTAGAAGGATTCTTACTCGTTATGCTTAAAGGGCCGGGCAGTGTAATGCGCCCCGGGCGGTTCCCCCGGCATCCGTCCCGCGGTTCCCCCAGTCCCTTGGGAGCGTTAGCTTTAGCTTAGCTTTAGCTTTAGCTTTAGCTTTAGCTTAGCTTCAGCTCAGCTTCAGCTCAGCTTCAGCTCAGCTTCAGCTCAGCTTCAGCTCAGCTTTAGCTCAGCTTTAGCTCAGCTTTAGCTTAGCTTTAGCTTAGCTTTAGCTTAGCTTTAGCTAGCTTTGCTGTTACTACTGATGCTGCTTTCCTCGGGGCTCCAACTCCTAGGTAGGGTCGCACTGGGATAATGTTGTTTCTTTTTCTGCACCCTGCCCTGCCTCTTTTTCTGCACCCTGCAAAAGTCTGTGTGTGCTTGTGGCGCTTCTGCCCCTTCTTCTGCACCTGTGCCCTGCCAGGGCTTGGCTCCCCCCGGCCGACCCCGCGGACCCCGCGGCCCTGCCCGTCTGGACCTGCTGGGCGAGCCAGGGGAGGACGGCGCGAAGCCTGCAGCAAGGGAGCTTCGACAGTCGAAGACGGAAACGGTATGCACGTAGACTTTTGGCGATCCGCGCGGATCTCTTGGATCCGCGCTGATACAAGAAATCCGCGCGGAGCGCCAGCAGTTTGTGTTTATGCCGCCTGTTCGTCTTCTGGACATGGCCGTCTTTTTGCGGTGCCGTTCTGCAGCTCCTGCTGGCGGTTCCGGCGCCGGTGCTTCCCCAGTTTCGTCGCCGTGGTCTTTCCAGTGCCGGTTCCCGCTCCCGAGCAGTTTTTTCATGTTTCCTGGAACCGTTTCCCCCCCCCCGCCTGAAAGTTACAGGAACAGTTTTTTACGAGAACGACCGAAGAACGGCCCTACCGTTTCTAGGGCCCAATGGGGGAGGGAGGGAGGGTGAAAGCTTAGGACGGGTGAGGGGGAGGAGGGGGAAGACGCAGGAGGAGAAGGAGGAGCGGGGGCCAGAGGAGGAGGAGGTGCAAGGAGCGGAGCTTTACCCGAAGAGTGAACACCTGCATGAGGGTAAACATTCGGAGGCGCCGCCAGGGGCTTCCCGCGCTGTCCAAGATATCCGCGCGGACCTCCGAACACTGATGTGTCTGCAACTGCTGTTCCCCCGTATACGCGAAGCTAGACGGATGGGCAACCTTCCCGAGGGTACCCTTGGCCATTTCCGCTGGCCGCGCCCCGCTCGAGAAGCTTCGAAAGGGCCCTCCGAGGCCCTTGCATCCTCAGCGCGCACACTTCTGCTACGGGGCGACGGTATACGTGAAGCTGGAGGTGAGCGCTTTTTGTTCCTCCTCGCGGGGCGGAAAACCGCCCCGCGCCGTGTGCCACGACACCCGGAGAGGGGGCCTGTGGGCCGCCGCCGCCAGGGGCGGAGGCGTGTTGTTCCGCGGGTCCTTGGCGGGGGGGGGGGGGATCCGCGGAGGGAGCTCGGCGAGGGGGGAGCCATCGGGAGGGAGGAGCACGCAGGCGGAGCAATGGTGAGAGGAGCGGAGGCGGCAGTGGGGAGGGAGGGGGGAGGAAGAGGGGAGGAGGAGGAGGACGAGGAAGAGGGTGGGGCAGGAGCAGGAGGGGGAGGAGGAGGGGGGAGGTGGGCCAGTTGTTCCCCGAGTCGGTTTGGAAAGCCTTCGGAGAACGCGTGGGGTAGCAAGAGGAGGAGGAGGAGGAGGATCAGGCGAGGGATGATGATGATGATGATGATGATGATGATGATGATGATGATGATGATGATGATGATGATGATGATGATGATGATGATGATGATGAGGCTGATGAGGCTGATGAGGCTGATGAGGCTGATGAGGCTGATGAGGCTGATGAGGCTGAGGCTGAGGATGAGGATGCGGATGAGGATGAGGATGAGGATGAGGATGAGGATGAGGATGAGGATGAGGATGACGGGGGAGGAGGAGGAGGAGGAGGAGGAGGAGGGGGAGGAGGAGGAAAGGGAGGAGGAGGAGGAGGAGGAGACTTCTTTGAAACCTCTTGGGAGGCCTCTTGGGAAGCCTCTTGTGGGAGGCCTCTGTGGAGTTTCCTGGGAGCCTTTTGGAGGCCTCTTGGAAGCGTCCTGGGGCCCCTTGGAGGCCTCTTGGGGGCATTTTGGGGCATATTGGGGGCCTCTTTGGCCGTCTTAGAGCGTTCCTGACCCATCTGATGCCGTCGGAAGCCGTCTCGGGGACCTCTCTCAACCGACTTGGGGATTTCTTCGGTCGCTTCATGGCCGCCTTGAAGATTATCTTGGGCGTCTTGGAGGCCTCATGGGTTGTCTTGGAGCCCTTTGGGGGCAGTCTTGGGGGCCACTTGGGCCATCATGGGGCCATCTTGGAGGCTTCTTGGCCGATCTTGGGGCGACCTTGGGGGCCTCTTGGGCCGTCTTGGGCCGCCTGAAGGTTGAAAAGGCGCAAATGACAAAATTCGTCAAAAACCTTTTTGGAAATTAATGATTTTGGCATCTTCGAGCCTTCCCGGAGGATCTCGTGGCGGCCTCTGGGGCCGTCTTGACGGCCTCTTGGGGGCCCCTTCGGCCGTCTTGGGCCATCCTGAGGCTATATTCGGCCGTCTTGGGTGCATCCTGGGCCGTCTTGGGGGACTCCTGAACGATGTTTTGAGGACGTCGTGCGCGATTGCGCAAATTTCTCGGGCCGTCTTGGAGGACTCTTGAACGATGCTTTGAGGACGCTGTGCGCGGTTGCGCACCTTGTTCTCGGTGGCCGGCGCGCTGGACTGGAGCCCCAAGGGAGAGTTTTTTGTTGGGGGGGAAAAACGAACCAAAAGCAAAGCCGGCAGGACTCAGCACGGCGGGCACCCCCTGTGATGAGACCACAGGCGGCGGCGGAATCGAAGGCGACTACGGCGAATCACCGCCGCCCCCTGCCTTTTTGGAAGCGCCTATGGAGTGTGAACGTGGAGGCCAGACCTGCCAAGCTATCGGACCATGTGTTCCCCGAATCGATTTGGAAAGCCTTCTGGGAACACGTGGGCATCTTGAAGGTCATCTTGGCCGTCTGGAGGCCATTTTGACCCTCTCGGGCCTTCTTGGAGGACGTCTTGGAGGGCTCTTGGGCTGTCGTGGAGGCCATCTTGAGCGTCGTGGAGGCCTCTTGGGCCGTATTGGGCCTCGTGGGCGATCTTTGGGGGCACTCGGGCCGTCGGAAGGCCGAAAAAAGCAAATGCCACAAACCTCATGGGAAATCAATAGTTTTGGCCTTTTCGGGCTTTCCTGGAGGCCCTCTTGGAGGCCCCTTGGGCCGTCTTGGATCATCTTAGTGCCATGTTCGGCCGTCTTGGTGGGCCCCTGGCCCGTCCGACGCCGTCGGAAGCCGTTTGGGGGCCCCTCTGCGCCGACTTGGGGCCCTCTTGGAATGCTCCAGGGCCGTCTTGGAGGCCATCTTGGGCGTCATAAAAGCTTCCTGGGCCGTCTTGGGGGTCTCTTGGGGCCGTCTTGGGGGCCTCTTGGGCCGTTCTGGGGCCATCTTGGGGGCCTCTTGGGCGCTCTCTGGGCGATCTTTGGGGGCTCTTGGGCCGTCTCGGGCAGTCGGAAGGCCGAAAAGAAGCAGATGTCAAGATCTTTGAAATGCCTACGGAACATCAATGTTTGTTTGCCTTTTTCTGGCCTTCCTGGAGGCCCTCTTGGAGGCCTCTTGGGCCGTCGTGGGCCAGCTTCGAGCCAACGTCGGCCATCTTGGTGGGCTCCTGGCTCGTCTGACGCCGTCGGAAGCCGTTTGGGGGGCCTCTCTGGGCCGACTGGGGATCCTCTTGGGGTGATCCACGGCCGTCGTAGAGGCCATCCTGGGCGTCTTGGAGGCCTCTTGGGTCGTCTCTGTGCCCTCTTGGGGCCGTCTTTGGGGCCTCTTGGGCAGTCCTGAGGCCATCTTGGAGGCCTCTTGGGCGCTGTGGGGGCGATCTTGGGGGCGTCTTGGGCCGTCTTGGGTCGTCGGAAAGCCACACAGGAGCAAGTACGAAAAACCTTGAAAAACCTAAGGACAATCAATGATTTTAGCCTCTTCTGGCCCTCCTGGAGGACCTCTCGGAGGCCTCTTTGGCCGTCTTGGAGGCCTCTTGGGCACCTCTTGGGCCGTCTTGGGCAGTCTTGGCGGTTTCTTGAGCGAACTTGGAGGTATCTCCTCCTCTCTTGGGCCTTCTTGAGGCCATCTTGGGCCATCTTGGAGGTCATCTTGGGCCAACGTGGCCACCTTGGAGGCCATCTTGAGCCGTCTTGGAGGATTTCAGGATTTGTTGTGGACGCTGAGGTGGTTTACGCGGCCTTCCGGGACCCCGGCGGAACGCGCCGAAGCCCCAGGGGGAGCCCGGCGCCCCCTGTCGATCCGCCGCCCCCTTGTCGATTCATCGCAGGGGTGCCTGGCGTGCTGGACCCTTTCGATTTGGGTCTTGGTTCTTTTTCCAAAAGAACTCCCCCCCCTGGGGCTTCGGCGCGTCCCGCCGGGGTCCCGGAAGGCCGCGTAAGCCACCTCAGCGCCCACAGCAAATCCTCCAAGACGGCTCAAGATTGCCTCCAAGATGGCCACGTTGGC